ATTAAGTAAAAGGTTGCCGGAGACTGGGTGTGGTGGCTCACACCTGTAATCCCAATACTCTGGGAGGCAGAGGCAGGCAGATCATCTGAGGTCAGGAGTTCAAAACCAGCCTGGACAACATGGCGAAACCCCATCTCTACTAAAAATACAAAAATTAGCCAGGCGTCTTGGCACATGCCTGTAATCCCAGCTACCTGGGAGGCTGAGGCAGGAGAATCACTTAAACCCAGGAGGTGGAGATTGCAGTGAGCTGATATCAAGACACTGCAATCCAGCCTGGGCAACAGAGTGAACCTCCATCTCCCTCCCCCACAAAAAAAAAGAGAAAAAAAGAAAAGGAAAAAGGTGACTGGGCGCAATGGCTCATACCTGCATAATCCCAACCATTTGGGAGGCCAAAGCAGGCAGACTGCTAGAGCTCATGATTTAGAGACCAGCCTGGGCAACATGGTGAAACCCCAACTCTACAAAAAACACATACACACACAAGTTAGCTGGGCATGGTGGTACATGCTTGTAGTCCTAGCTACTCGGGAGACTGAGGTGGGAGGATGGCTGGAGCCCAGGAAGCAGAGGTTGCAGTGAGCCAAGAACACGTCACTGCATTCTAGCCTGGGAGACAGAGCCAGACCTTGTCTCAAAAAAAAAAAAAAAAAAAAAAAAAAAAAAATCTGGCACACTGCCCCATCAAGGTCTTAAAGATAGTCTCCTATATTGTAATTTACCCAAAACTGAATTTCCTGTATGTTGTGAGTTAGGGATCCAACTGCATCTTTTTCCGACTGTCACAACACTGTGTTTGAAGGCTTTGTCCTTTGTGCAGTGATATGTAATTCCACCTCTGGAATTCAAGCTTCTTGGGTCTGTTTCTGACAGCTTGTCTCACAGGCTAAAGCCAATTTTAAGGCAAGTCTTGAAACAGGAAAGGCAAGTGCTCCCTCCTTCTTCTTCTTCTTCACAATGACCTCACGATACTAGGACTAAATTCTCCTAAACATTTTAAAATCGACTTATTGCCTTTCACATAAAACTCTAGAAGCTTTAAAGAGGCAGCGAATCCACAGAACAATATGAGAAGTTTTAAAAATATTCAGTCTTCCTAGGCAAGAACATTTTGCCTCTATTTATTTGTCTTCTTTAATGTCTCTTAATAAAGTTGCAAATTTTTCTCCCTCAAAAATTTCACCCATCTTTTGTTAATTCGCATTTCTATCAAAGATGGTTCCACTGGGGAAACAAAAACCATGCTAAGACATTTCAAACACAAAGGGTTTCATACAGAAAATAGGTGCTTTCAAAACAACTGGCAGGGCTATAGTGTGAGCAAAAGTAAAGTGGGCTACTTCTAGTCTTCCATCTAATCCTTACAGTCATCGTCAAGTCAGGAAGCTACTACCGCCATCCATAGGTTAAAAAACTGCAAAAAAAATCTGCTGCCAATATCTCAGCTGTTCTGCAGCCCTGAGACAGCTGGCCAGTGGGGTAAGGCAGAAGCCACTGCAAAAACTCACCTTGTTCTAAGCCCATGCAGGCCCGCCCCACATACCATGGCCCAAGGGAGAAAGGTTCCACTTCCCTTCCACTCGCTACATTTCCCAAGACACATGTCATAGGGCAAATGACCACCGAAGCCTGCTGGCAGAGGGGTCTGAGTGCTACTGCTCTAGCATTCCAGCCTCTGAAACCTAGGGACAAACCCAGAAGGGAGTGGGAAGGTACTGAACGCCCAGGCTGTAACTCGCAAGCCACCCATTTCCCTCTTTCAAAAACATGCAGAAATTACTGATCTACTGTTACATCTTTCCCCCTTTTTTGTCCCTTTAGTTTTACACATTTTGTACTCCCTTTTAGCAGGGCAATGAAGTAACTTTATATGGTAGTTCCAGAAGTCCTGAAGTCTACCTTCAAAAGTAACCTGACTGAGAATGGACAGAACTTCCCAAAGGGTTACTGAAATTCTCCCCATACAAAGGAAAGTCACAGCTTTTGAGCAAAGGTGGTTATTAGCTAACTCTCTACTCCCCCGACAAACACAAAGAGTTTCCTTTTTGGTGGGGGAGGGCTGAAGGAAGGGAGAGTGTCAATGAGGACTTCACTCTATATCCATGATTTTTAAAAAAATTCTTTTAAAATAAACTAAAAAAAAAAATCACAAGATTTTAACAGTTATTAATTCATGGAAGTAAGAAAATATGCATTACATAGTCTTTGTACATTTTTATAACTTAAGTTTGCCCAGAGTTCCAATTTAAAGAACAATTAAAAATCAATCTGCTCACCCTTCAGACTGTGACACAGCATTATACAAGAACAGTCATAGGACTATGAGTCAAGGAGAAGCAGGGTAAGCCCTGCCAGGACAGTGGCCTCCTCAGCCCACCTGGAATGCTTCTAGCGCCCTACCCGGCCTCAATGGGTTTGCACGCATGGGTCCTCATTGTCATGCCTTCACTGCTTGGTCCTGGTGCAGGCCACCACTCCTAACTCTTGGCTTCTATGAGATTTTTTCTATCTAGGGAAAACATATAGCAACCTATGTAGCTTAAAGCCAATACTTAAGTGCAAAGTTGATGTCTCTTCCATGTCAAGCCGGGTGGTCCAAATGGGAAATCAAACCTACTCTTTGCCTTCACCAAGTCTTTAGAGCATGAAAAGATGAACAAGATGGCAACTATGAGTGTGGATACTACTGTGTTTAGCATGTGTAACAGGACAGTTATTACAAAAACCACAAAAGCAAAGCCAAATGGCACTTTGAGAACAGCAAATAAGCTCTGCTTTCATTTGAAAGCAAACCAAGAATCATCTGGTTCTCTCTTCAGGAATTCTCCAAGAGGCTGGATATAAGGTCCCACTCTGAGTCAGACAAGGGGAGGCTCTCACTCATGATCACATGGTTGTCCCCAGGCTGACCATCCAGGGAACTTCAGCAGCCTAAGCGCTGGCAAGCCCATTGGGAATCCACTTTCCCTGGGCTTTGACCCAAGGATCCACTAGAGAGGCTCCCAAACAACGGGTTGTCCCAGAGACTCCTGACTGGGCTAATACCATCAAAACCCCCGTTTGGGAAGGCAAACACCTCCACCAGAGACATGCATAATCTGATGAAGAATGGGCTCTAGCGACAATCAGGAGGGGTCCCCTCTAAACAGCATTCTTTTTTTTTTTTTTTTTTTTGGAGACAGAATCTCTCTGTCACCCAGGCTGTAGTGCAGTGGCATGATCTTAGTTCACTGTAACCTCCACCTCCTGGGTTCAAGTGATTCTCCTGCCTCAGTCTCCCAAGTAGCTGGGATTACAGGTGCCCGCCACCACACCCAGCTAATTTTTGTATTTTTAGTAGAGATGGGGTTTCACGATGTTGTCCTGGCTGGTCTGAAACTCCTGACCTCAAAAGATCCCGCCTGCTTCAGCTGCCCGAAGTGTTGGGATTATAGGCATGAGCCACTGCACCTGACCTTTTTTTTTTTTCCCTTTGAGACAGTCTCATTCTGTAGCCCAGGATAAAGTGCAGTGGCACAATCTTGGCTCACTGCAACCTCTGTCTCACAGGTTCAAGCAATTCTCATGAATCACCCTCCTGAGTAGCTGGGATTACAGGTGTGCATCACCATGCCTAGCTAATTTTTGTATTTTTATTAGAAACAGGGTTTCACCATGTTGGCCAAGCTGGTCTCCATCTCTGCTTCTTATTTTGGAACCCCTCTCAAACAACTACCCCAAGTTCAAATGTCACCTAATGCCCTACCTAATACCCTGGTTGGAATGAATTGGTTTTCCTTCAGTACTAAGCCTATAGGAATTATGGCACACCTTTCATGTCCTAGGCCAAGTCCCACTAAGGAAGGAGAAAGGTCTCTGCCCTCTGGGAGCTCATGGTCTGGATGGAAAAATCAAGCCTGGGCACCAGGAATGGTGAGAATTACCAATGGTTCTGATGCTGTAAGAGAGACAGATGGGAGACTGGAAGAAACTAATCGATAAAAAGAGGGACCACAGACATTTTCCCACTGGGGTAGCATCTGAGCTACACCCTGAAGGATGGCAGGGCTTGTTTATACAGAAACAGACAAAGGAATTCCAGGAAAACATAAAGGAAGCACGCATCTAGGAGATTATTACTGGGGGTGGGCACAGGAAACAGCCCAGCTGAGCCACTGAAGGGAAGTAGTGATTAAGAAGGTTGGTAAAGCAGTCCTAAACCAGCTTGTGAAGGAGTCTGCAAGCTTAGCCAAAGCTTTTAGGCCTGTGATTCTCAAGCTGGAATAAGACACACCTTCCCCTTAGTGGCTTTATCAGCACCACCTAGTCTTAAATTTGTGGATACATGTATATGTATGTCGCACACATTCTCACACACATGCACACATATTCACTACACCTCCCACTCAATCCAAGTTGAGGAGAACAACGGATACAGTGAACACTGTCATTCGTGGGGTGCACTGTATTCCTTGAGGGTGCTGGGGCAGAAACCAGGTGAAGAACCTGGTTCTCCCATTTAGCCTTTTCGTGGCCTCTCCATACATCTTTAGGAGGCTACACATGACCACGAGAGAACCCCCAAATGCAAAGTTTCTGGTGAATGCGTGAGCAGGAAGGGAGGGAGTGCCAAAGCCAGTCTAAAAGAGCACACTCAGCATCAAGAGGCACCCACATCCAGAGCCAGGATGCAGATGAGGTCAGAGAGGTGGCCAGGGTGCCACCCCTCAGGAGTGGTTCACACTCAAGATCATGCAAGTCCAGGGATGGCAGTGCCTCCTTAAGTGTGGCCTCCTGGGCATCTCACATGCCTACCCACAGCCCTGCCATCTTGCAAGTTCTGGCATCTGCCTAGGTTGGGCACCTATTTCAGAGACAGAGAGAAGAAAAGGGTCAGTTCAAACTAACTTTCCAATGTGCTGAGACAGCACACACCTCCATCCCTCACAAGAGGCACAGTTACCTAGCCACAACAAAGAGACAAGGTGGCGTGTACCCAGCCTACTCGATACACTCACCTGGACAGTTGGCTTCATCGCTCTCATCCTCGCAAGTCGCCCAGCCGTCACACTGCCAAGGGAGGGGGATGCACTGGATGGTGCCACTGCCACAGGCAAACTGCCCAGGGTTGCACCGCAGCTCTGTGGAACCAAAGGGTGAGAGGCCATTAGGTCAGCAAACCACAGCCCACGGGCCAGATCCATCTCTTCCCATCTGTTTGTTTGTTTATTTAATGTACGTATGTATTCATTTATTTTTGAGACAAAGTCTCGCTCTGTTGCTCAGGCTGGAGTGCCAGTGGTGCGATCTCAGCTCACTGCAACGTTCACCTTCTGGGTTCAAGCGATCCTCGTGCCTCAGCCTCCTGAGTAGCTGGAATTAAAAGCACACACCACCATGCCTGGCTAATTTTTATGTTTTTAGTAGAGACAGGGTTTTGTCATGTTGGCCAGGCTGGTCTCGAACTCCTGGTGTCAAGTGATTCTCCTGCCTCGGCCTCCCAAAAATGCCAGGATTACAGGCATGTACCACTGTGCCTGGCCTCCACCTGTTTTTAAAATCAAGTTTTACCAGAATACAGCCACAAATATGTATTATCTACAGCTGCTTTTAAGCTACAGCAGCAGAGGCGAGTAGCTGCAGGAGAGACTATATGGCCTGCAAAGCTGAAAACATTTAATGCCAGGCCGAGGCGGGTGGATCACGAGGTCAAGAGATCGAGACCATCCTGGTCAACACGGTGATACCCCGTCTCTACTAAAACTACAAAAAATCAGCTGGGCATGGTGGTGCGTGCCTGTAATCCCAGCTACTCAGGAGGCTGAGGCAGGAGAATTGCCTGAACCCAGGAGGCGGAGGTTGCCGTGAGCCGAGATCGCGCTATTGCACTCCAGCCTGGGTAACAAGAGCGAAACTCCGTCTCAAAAAAAAAAAAAAAAAAGAACCTACTACTTAGAGATAAAAACTGTTAACATTTGGCCGGGCACACTGGCTCACACTTGTAATCCCAGCAATTTGGGAGGCTGAGGTGGGTGGGTCACGAGGTCAAGAGATTGAGACCATACTGGCCAACATGGGGAAATCCCGTCTCTACTAAAAATACAAAAATTAGCTGAGCATGGTGGTGTGTGCCTATAATCCCAGCTACTCGGGAGACTGAGGCAGGAGAATTGCTTGAATGTAGGAGGCAGAGGTTGCAGTGAGCTAAGATTGTGCCACTGCACTCCATCCTGGGTGACAGAGCAAGACTCCATCTCAAAAAAATTAAAAAATTAAAAAAAAAAATCTGTAACACTTGAGATGAAAAATACACTGCAGAACATTAATGGGTTAGATTCTACAGAAGTAGAAGAAATGACTAGTGACTTGAAGATATAACAATAGAAACCCTCTGAACTAAAACAGAATGAAAGAAATACCAGGAAAAAATGTGCAAATCATCAGTAAGCTGTGGAACAACTTCACACACCCTAACACATGGGGGAACGGACAAAATATCTGAAGAAACAATGGGAAGAATTTCCCAATTACATGAGAACTATAAACCCACAAATCCAAGTAGCTCAATGAACCCCAAGCACCAGAAATATAAAGAATACAACTCGAAGTCACATTGGAATTGAATTGCTTAAAATCTGTGATAAAATCTTAAAAGCACAGAGTAAAACAAGATATTATGCATTGAAAAACAAACATCAAAATGACAGCAGATTTCTCACTACAAACAATACAGCCTAGAAGACAGGTGACATTTTAAAGTTCTGAGAGAAAAAGCTGTTCACCTACAATTATTTACAGCAAAAACACGGATACTATATTGTGGAGTTTATAACATATACAGAAGTAAAATTTTGACAATAGCACCAAAGCTGGGAAGAGAGAAACAGAAGCACACTGTTTTAAAGTTCTCATACTACAGGTAAAGTGCTTTATCACTTGAAGGTAGTCTGTGATAAGTTAATGATGAATCCCACTAAAATAACACAAGAGTTACAGCAAATAAGCCAACATAAACAGAAGAGGATAAAAAATACTAAATCCAAAAGAAGAAAAAAAAAAAGGAGACAAACAGATGGTACAAACGAAAACAAATGGTAACATGGTAGATTTTAATTAAACTTGCCTCATCAGTAAGCATATGGAGTGATCTGAACGCTACAAATGAAAGGCAGAATTTGTCACAGAGGGAAAAAAGCAAGCTACAACTACGTATTGCCTAAAAGAAACTCATTTTATATAAGACATAAATAAGAGAAAATAAAAGAATGGTAAAAAATATACCATGTTGACCAGGCATGGTGGCTCACGCCTATAATCCAAGCACTTTGGAGGCCAAGGCGGGCGGATCACCTGAGGTCGGGAGTTCAAGACCAGCCTGACCAACATGGTGAAACCCCAACTTAAAAAAAAAAAAAAAAAAAAAAAGAAAGAAAGAAAGAAAAAGAAAAAATATATATTACCATGTTAACACGAATCAAAGGATAGCTGGAAGGCCAGATACAGTGGCTCACTCCTGCAATCCCCATAGTCCCAGCATTTTGGGAGGCCAACACACGGACCACTTGAGCCCCGGAGACCAGCCCGAGCAACATGGAGAAATCCCATTTCTCTAAAAATACAAAAAATTTGTCGGGTATTGAATGAATGCCTGTAGTCCCAGCTACTCAAAGGCTGAGGTGGGAGAATCTCCTGAGCCTGGGATGTTGAGGCTGCAATGAGATGTAATGGTGCCACCGCACTATAACCTGGTCAACCGGAGAGACCCTGTCTCAAAATAAGATAACTGGAGTGTATTAACATCACACAAAGTAGATTTCAGTGCAAATGTTACAAGGAATAAAGAAGGTCATTTAATAATGATAAAGGGATTGATTCAAGGGGACATAATCCTAAATGTTTATGCATCTATTAAAATTCATGAAAGAAACTTCAAGTGAAACTCCTGCTGGGGCAGGAGAATCACTTGAACCAGGGAGGCAGAGGCTGCAGTGAGCCAAGACCACATAATTGCACTCTAGCCTGGGCAACAAGAGCGAAACTGTTTCAAAAAAAAAAAGGGAAAAAGTGAATGTAGGCTAGGCATGGTGAGCCACCATGCTTGTCTGTAATCCTAGAACTTTGGGAGGCAGAGGCAGGTGGATCGCCTGAGGCCAGGAGCTCAAGGACAGCCTAGTCCACATAGTGAAACCCAGTCTCTACTAAATACAAAAATCAGCTGTGCGTGGTGGCACGCGCCTATAATCCCAGCTACTTGGGAGGCTGAGGCACAAGAATAGTTTGAGCCCAAGAGGCAGAGGCTGCAGTGAGCTGAGATCGTGCCACTATACTCCAGCTTGGGTGACAGAGTGAGACCATCTAAAAAAAAAAAAAGGAAAAACAAAAGTGACTGTGATGAGCCATCAGCCAAAAAAGGAAGAAATACTACAACATGAATGAACCTGGACAACATTGTTAAGTGAAAGAAGACAGACACAAAATAGGCAAATAATACATGATTTTACTCATAACAGGTACAGAGTAGTCAATTTCATAAAGATGGAAAGTAGAATGGCGGTTGCCAGGGGATAGCGGTGAGGAAAACAGGGAGTCGTTGTCTAATGGATATAGAGTTTCTGTCTGGAATGACAAAAAAGTTCTGGAAGTGGGTAGTGGTTCTTGTTGCATAACATTCTGAATGTTCTTAGTGCCACTGAATTAACTGTACACTTAAAAATGGTTAAAATGGCGCCAGCTGCATTGCTGACACCTGTAATCCCAGCACTTTGGGAGGCCAAGGCAGGTGGATCACAAGGTCAAGAGATAGAGACCATCCTGGCCAACATGGTGAAACCCCATCTCTACTAAAAATACAAAAAATTAGCTGGGCATGGTGGCACATGCTTGTAGTCCCAGCTACTTGGGAGGCTGAGGCAGAAGGATCGCTTGAACCTGGGAGACAGAGGTTGCAGCAAGCCAAGATCACACCACTGCACTCCAGCCTGGAGACATAGTAAGACTTCATCTCAAAAAAAAAGAAAAAAAATGGGGCCAAGTGTGATGGCTGATGCCTGTAATCCCAGAACTTTGCGAGGCTGCGACAGGAAGACTGCTTGAAGCTGAGTTTGAGACCAGCCTGGGCAACATACTGAGACCTCATTTCCACACAAAATAGAAAATCTGCCAGACATGGTGGCATGTACCTATGGTCCTAGATTGCTTGAGCCCAGGAGGTCGAGGCTGTAGGGAGTTATGACTGCACCACTGCATTCTAGCCTTGGTAACATAGTGAGGTCCTGTCTCTTTAAAAAAAAAAAAAAAAAAAAAGAGCCAAGGCGGGCAGGTCACAAGTCAAGAGATCAAGACCATCCTGGCCAATATGGCGAAACCCCATCTCTACTAAAAATACAAAAATTAGCTGGGTATGGTGGCATGCGCCTGTAGTCCCAGCTACTTGGGAGGCTGAGGCAGAAGAATTGCTTAAAAACCTGGGAGGCAGAGTTGCAGTGAGCTGAGATCATGCCACTGTACTCCAGCCAGGCGACAGAGTGAGATTCCATCTCAGAAAAAAAAAAAAAAAAAAAAGATAAAATGTTAATTTGTTATAAATATACCACAACTTAAGAAAGAAATGAAATACTGACACATGCTATCACACAGATTAACTGTGAAAACAAAATGCTAAGTGAAATAAGCCAGACACCAAATACATGTTGTATGATTCCATCAGTATAAAATGTCTAGAATAGGCTAATCTATACAGACAGAAAGTTGATTAGTAGTTGCCAAAGGCTGTGGGGAGGGGAACTGGGGGGTTATTGTTTAAAAAGTATGGAGTTTCTGTTTGGGATGATACAAAAAGTTCTGGAAATGGGTAGTGGTGCTGGCTGCAAAACATGCTGAATGTTCTTAAAGCCACCAAATTCTGCACTTGAAAGTGGTAAATTGTATGTTATGTGTATTTTACCACAATAAAAAAAAATTCTTAAAAAAAAAAACAGAGGCCAGGTGTGGTGGCTCATGCCTATAATCCCAGCACTTTGAGAAGTCAAGGTAGGAGGATCACTTGAGTCCAAGAATTCAAGACCAGCCTGGGCAACACAGCCAGACCCTGACTCTACAAATAAAATAAAAATGAGCCAGTTGTGGTGGTGTCCTTCTGTAG